GAATATGGTTCCCTATTTGAATGAGTGGAGGGGATTGTGTCACCTCACTACCAAGCACAAAATTTGTGTTTGGTACCAAGATATATATATATATATATATGAGAAATATGGGTATGCTTGGTACTAAGCACATATTTTATGCTTGGTAGTGAGGTGACACAATCCCCTCCACTCATTCAAATGGGGGACCACATTCACATAGGTTGAGCAATGCATGAGGATATGCAACCATTTGAATGAGTGGAGAGATTATGTCACCTTACTACCAAGCATAGCTTTTGTGCTTGGTACCAAGCACAAAAAATGGTGTTTGGTAGTGAGGTGTCACATTGCCCTCCACTCATTGAAATTAAGGCTCATACTCACATAGGTTGAGAAGTTATTGGAAATGACAAAGAGTGGATGGGAATGTGACATCTAAGTACCAAGCACCAAATTTGTGCTTGGTACCAAGCATACTCATTTCTCTCACTCGTGTTAACTTAGGTGGATAGCAAAAAGTAACCCACCAAACTTTTTAGCAACTCATATTGCCTAGGAATCCTTGCATGATATGAATTTTTTTATATTAATAAATAAGTGGCTAGAAAGTTTGGTGGACATCAACTTAAGTTGATAGGAGTCTTACTATATATATATATATATATTTATATATATATATATATATATATATATATGCAATATGATATAGATACGAATACAGGTACATAAGCAAAAAATCTGGATCCTTATCCGAATATCCAAATGTATGTATCGATCATGAAGTGAAATTGTTTTGACCAATAAATAAATGGATTGCGGATCAATTCTGAGATCCAGAGATCTAATCTTAGCTTTTCAGATATTTCAAACATTTTAATGGACTCTCATTTGAGAAGTTCATTATATTTAAACATCTTTCATACTATAATAATATGTATATTTACTACTGTTATCTATTTTCCTCGTATTCATTTTGCATTCACATATATTTTCCCTTAATCGATGTAAATTTTGACTAATATGGATATGACCTTTTCTTACTGAGACATAACTGTATTCATATTTAAATCGGTGATAAGTAAGCGCCTAAACGGATACAAGTATGGTAAGTATCATATATGATCCATATCCGATCCATTTGCACAATTAGAAATCATAAGTGGATACGAAAAGTTTATGGTGTATATTGGTATTAACATAGGTTTCACAAGGTTAACCATGTAGGATAAAACATGATAAATTCCAAATTCTGAGGATTGGAATCACAGCGCAAAGCATCTTAACAGATGCACATATCTGTTGTATAATTATATGATGTTTTTGTGTCATGTTACAATTTGAAATCACCTCTGATGCTAAAACAAGGATACAGGTGCAAGCGAAATTGTCACGAAGTATGTTAAAATGCAATCAGCACACTTTGCTGACACCACCACAATCACAGAACTTGAAGGATTGCTCCTTATTTAAAGAAGATTTATGAACAGATCAGAATCTCATACTGAAGTGTGTCCGCAAAAACAAAAGTTCATTTATTACATGGAGAAAACATCGTAACAAATGTATTGAAGTTACTACCATCACAGTAGTCATACAAATGAATGCCCTACCATCCATCATATCTTATACCCAATTGTACTGTATTAGATAATTGTTTAAATGCAATAATCTCCATTAACTGAAGAATGATGCCTTACATAATTTATGTGACGAGATGGTCAGAATCAGAAGTGCCTAGACATAGGATCAAGAATGTTCAAGAGAATAATTGAGAGAATATATCATCAAAATCGGTAGATCAGTTCTTACTAAATCATTTATTTATTTATTTATTATTTATTTTTATGCTTAGGTTTTTCACAGAGAGAGTGTGTAGTTCGGGCTAGAGAAAAAGAATAATGGTTCAAGTTGGAAAATTTCCCCCCTTAAGCCAAAGTAATGTGTGATGTTAACTATATATGTCGCTTCTCTTATGCTTATATATTACCTTCATAAACTCAAAGTAACCAATGTCCACACTTAATATGACACTAAATCATTTATTTATTTATTTAAACCCATAATTTCATACTCAACACTTAGCAAGTCTAACAAGAACAGACAGAGATAACACTAGAAACCCTAGCTAAGCGCAAGCATAACCTCTTGACGTCAAATTAAAGAAAAATCCGCCAAAAATAGAGAGAACTGACCCTCAGAGTTCTAGAAGCTTCAGCAGCCGGCGCTGAGGAGGACCCCGCCTGAAGGTTGGAGGAGGAGGCGGAGAGGCAATCCGCCACCGCTCGCCGGAGAGGTCCGGCGGCTTCTTTGCCGGAGGCACCGGCCTCTGGTGCCTCTGCGACGACGTCGGTCCGTACAATCTCGAGCTCGACGAACTCCTCGAAGGGCTGTAGTTCAAAGCCCTCCGAGAACCGTGCAGCTCATCCAAAGCCATCGCTTTTCTCCCCGTTGATCTCTCTTTTCTTCGATTTTCCTTAATTTATTACTCTCGATCTCGATTATTACGAATCAACATTTGAAGCGAAGAAGAATCAAAGCGATTTTGGGGGAGAGAGAGAGAGAGAGAGATCGAAATCGAGAGCACAGATCCTTAGTTTTGGTGTTTATGCTCCCTTCGAAACTCACGCACCCAGGGTTAGCCCTACAGCGGACCCCGCATGAGCGTGGAACAACGCCCGCTGTCGTCTCTGAGGAGCTGGGTGCACGTAAGATCCGCGCCATTACAGCTGGCGCTGCTGCGTGGGCCCCACACCATCGTGCTTTCTGTTATAATATAGTCGGGATAATTCGGGGACGTGACTCTTGAAAACCGGAAAGAGACCAAGGGGGTTTTATTAGAGGAGGGGTGGGCCCGCGGACAGTCTTTTCCATTAAAAGGTGGATTCATTCGTCAGATTGCGGGGCGGACGAAGGAAATAGTTTTGCCAAATTAATTAGATGGAAGATTCTGAAATTGGACAGTGGATCTAATGGATGTGTCATGTGTGTGGTCAGGTTCATGGTTATATTTTGGGTGCGTGGAAGAAAACGACTGGGGGTTTATTAGCTGGCAATGTCGAGGGCCGGTTCAAAGAGGAGTTGATTTGATCAAACCCGAGGGGGACTCATTAGGTACCCAAACTGTGTCATGCCACACGCGCAGACGCTGCCCAAAAATTCATAAATGGCCAAAGAGGATCAGAATAGATTTTTAGCTGGCCGCCCATGCTTCTAAATGAATTACCACTTTTTTTTATAAGACTTGGTTTGGTATAAGAGGTATAATGAGCGAAAGGTAAGGTAAGGTAATGTTCGATGAGGGGTAAGAAGGGAAACATCTTTTCTAGTTCTCATTTGAAGAAATTTTCAAATCACCTCAACGGAATTTGTTTTTTAAAAGAAACAGACCACATTCACTTTTAATTTTAGAAATCGACAAACTTTGAGTTAATTGCGGTACTATTTAGTCGGGTACATAAATTTTTAGTTAATTTTGCATATTTTCTCTCCTTCCCGAGTTGTGTCCCTCCAAATTGGAGAGACTCAGCTCTCTCCCTTTTCACTTTCTAGTTCATTTTATATTTCCTCTCTCCTTATTTTATTTTACTCTGCTTCACTTTACCCTCTAAAACTCCCGACCAAAGAAAATTTTTAATTTTGTCACTCAGCTTACTCTATTTCCCTTCCACCATAACTTTACACATTTCAGTTTTCCAATTGACAAACAAGATTTGCAAATAAAAAGGGAGGGGAAATTATTGCACTCTTCCTTTATGATTCCTATCCTTCAGCTCCCAAAAGTAAACATAAATCTACATCAAACATACTTTAGCACGTGCAAAGCGTGTGCCCTTCGGTAAAGTGAAGCCCCTTCAAGTTTGATTCTACACAGTATCCCACTGGTCCAGCCTCTTACGAGCATAGAAAACTGCTACAACATGTGTCAGCCTTAACAGAAAATTGGCATACAAACATTGCATTAAATACGTTAAAGAGGGAGATTTTTTTAAAGACCTTTTTTTTTGCTAAATAATTAGCAAAACCGACCGTTTTGCTAATTATTTATCAAAATCGATCTATTTTTGGCTAACATGCCAAAAAGAGATCGGTTTTGCTGAATAAGCTCTTCGAAACATACGGGACTATTAGTCTCGTATGTTTAGTTGTCTTTAATTGGCAACTAATAATACGCTAGAAACCCCACGGGACTACTAGTCGCGTGGGTTTATGTTATGACTTCACAAAACGTACGGGACTAGTAGTCTCGTACGTTAAGCAGAAACTCTGCTTCTGCGTGCCAAACAAATCCACGGGACTAGTAGTCCCATGGATTTGTCAAGCTATATAAGGCCCAATGTTGCCCTAATTTCAATTGTGCCCCAAAAATTAGGGCACAACAATCTCTCTCGTTCTCTCTTTCTCTCCCAGCCGAAACCCCCAATCTCTCTTGTTAGCTTTTGGTTGCTCATATATATCATTATATCTTTTTATGTAATTGTAGATAGATGATATGGACGAGATAGAGGGGATTGCAAATGAGGGCATAACTACCGCCGCAGGAGATTCAGTACATGTATCGATATTGCATCAGAAAGTGGTGAGGATTCGTAGAGCTCTTCATCAACTCATGAGGATCGGCATGAAGGTCGTGAACAGATGACGCATGAGGAGAGGGTATATGCGCACCGACGAAGACGTGGTAGATCTTACACGCACGACAATGAAGCTAGTCCGTCACAACCCCACACACAACCGGAGAGCGAGCACATATAAGCTCAAGTCGAAGGAGGCCGCCAACGATTTGAGTGGGTGCGAAGAGGGAGAGAACTGGGGAGGGGCGGACTTTTAGGTTGTTAGCGTTTCTGCTTAGACTATATATTAGCGTATGGATAGACTTGATACGTTTAGATTTGTTTAGCTTAGACTATATATTGTCATATGAATAGACTTGATACATTTGGATTTGTTTAGAGTATTATATCGCATTGATATGTATATGACATATATATTGTGTTGTGATATTGTGAATTGATTAAATGTGTTATTATCCAGTGTTTATTTTTTAACATTTATAACTTTTATAAATATTATACTATATATCAATGTATACGAAGTGGATGCTATATTTTTGCGCAAATTTTGGTCAAAAAACATTGTATATGAAGCAATAAATGCATGTGCATGTTTTGAGTGTGTCCATGGAATCCACGAGACTAATCTATGAGACTAGTAGTCCCGTGGATTTGCTGGGCACGATGTGAGCTTTTTTGCTTAACGTACGGGACTATTAGTCTCGTACTTTAGTAGTCCTGTACGTTAAGTGAAGTAATAACAAAAACACACGGGAGTCCCGTGGGTTTTCTAGCGTGGTATTAGTCGCTAATTAATGGTAACTAAACATATGAGACTACTAGTCTCGTATGTTTCGAATAGCTCATTTAGAGCATCTCCAACCCAAAAACCCAAAATGGTGTAGTTCTTACACCAAGTTTGTGTAGTTTTTACACCAAATCACTATTTCATCTCCAACCCATTACACCAAATGTTACACCAAAAAGAATATCATCTCCAACCCATTACACCAAATGTTACACCAAAAAGAATATTCATTTTATTATTCTTATCTTTTAATATTTTTATCTATTTAAAATATTTAACAAATTATATAATTATATAATACATTACATATTAGGGGTGGGCAAAAACCCAAAAAAACCGGTTCAACCGAAAAAACCGCCCGAAAAAACGGACCGGTTAACCGAACCGAATTAAATGGATGAGAAGAAGTCTCTAAACCGTCCGAACCGAATTAAATCGGTTTGGATCCGGTTTGAACCCCTGAACCGCCCAAAAAAAACCGACCCGAATTTTGTTGGGCGGTTTAGAGACTAAACTTATACCTCAAAACTTTTCCTGTTATCATCCAATAGATTCAAACGGCGCAAGGAGCAGTTTCAAGCAATGAGTACAACAATATCACAGAAAAATATCCTTGAGAACTAAGTAAAGATTCAAATCAATCCAGAAAATTTGTTATGCACATGATGCATTTATAAAAGATGCATATGCTACATTATATGAACAATATCATACAAAACATCACTCCCCCGTGTAATTAAATAAACTTAAACTTTAGTTAAAAAATTTCGCAGAAAAGATCTTGAGAATTACATAAGATTCAAATCAATCACAAAATGTGTTATGTACATGATACTTACAAGAGATAAGCATGCTGTATTATATGAACAACATCTTTAAAACATCAGTTCTCTGCGTAATTATATCAACTCAAAACTTTATTCTAAAGATGATAACCAGTCTAATAAAGCTTTGTTGGCGAGCTTAGGAACCTCATCATGAGGACAATGCCCAGCTTGCAAATCCACAACAGAAGTCTTTGGATAGAACTCTTTACAAATTCAAAACCGAAACCGAACCGAATTTCGGTTGGGCCGAATATTCGGATGAAGGGGAAAAAATCTGGATCTGGATGAGAGTTTTGAGAATCCGAAAAATTCGGATTGGATGCGGATTGGGCATAAAACCGAACCGAACCGAATATGCCCAGCCCTATTACATATAATTAATTACAATAATATATTTTATGAATAAAATAAAAATATAAAAAGAACAATATTTTGACACAAGTAACTGATCCAAAACTACATGAGTTTCTTGTACAAGAACAATCAAGAATTATGCATAAAAAACTAAACAAGGTGAAGGATCTCATAATACCGGTTCCGGTACTTTTCCTCAATATTTCGAGCATCTTCGTCCTTCTGATAATAATTTCCCAGAATACTAAAATGTTGTTTTAGTTTACGTTCAATGTTCTATTTTTCTTTAATTTTAATGTATTGCAATTAGTGTTAATTTTTAATGTCCTAATTTATGTGTAATTTTTTTATATGTCCTAATGTTTATGTTGTATTTTTTTAAATCTAAATGGAGTAGTTTTTCTTATTTCTTCATTTGGTTCTAATATTATGAAATTTTAAGTGTTTGGATTAAATTATCTATTTTTTCCAATTGTTGAATTTTATTTTAATAATTATTTTATACTTTAATTTCATTATAATAGTTAATATAAAATAATATATATTATTAATACAAATATAAATAATAAAAGAAAAAAACTTGTGCTGTTGCTACAGTGTTGCACCATTTCTGGTGCAACAGTGTAGCATCCCGCTATTTTAACGGGGTGTTTGACGCTCCATTGGTGTGCCAAAACACTCCAAAATGGAGTTTTGGCGCTCCATTGGAGACGCCCTTAGCAAAATCGACCGTTTTTTGCTAATTATTTAGCAAAAAGTGCCTTTTTTTAAAATCTTCCGTGAAAGAGAGGTGATTTGCTCAGTTGCATAAGTTCTCAAGTAGCACTCATCAACATATTGAAGTGCAATATTTACACGGGCTAACAGCTGAACAGCAGTGCAGATATATGCACACCCATACCATTTTATGCATACCACCACTATATACAACTATTCAAGCCAGGCACAACATCTACACGGTTCAGAACTCAGATAATCTCTCTCTTCGCTAAAGTGTGTGTTGTGAGCGTTAAGGCAATGAAATAGTACAGGAAAGCTTTTCGATATGTTAAGCAGTTATGATAGAAGAGCTTATGTCTACATCTCTGCAACCGGAGTGCTCGACTCACCACCCAGGTTCCCACCTGTCCACCTCTTTAGCATTTCTAATGCTGCCTTAGGCTGGTCCATGGGAACCATGTGACCGGCATCATGTACCTACAAAAGGAAAATACTGGTCAGGTTGTGAAATACCCTGCGCACCAGTTTAGCAGCTAATAAGGGGTCTTGCTATCCACTAAGAGAGTTGCTAGTCATTTATGGGTTTAATGGAAACCCCTTGGCGGAGCTTGTCCTGACTGGAAGTTTCATCACAGCTCCTTGACAGCCGCCTGCTGTAGACATTTTAACGAGTCCTTTAAAAGACAGATACTTGAATTATCCATGCTCATTTCTGAAACCTTTTCGTGGAATTGGCTAGAACAATAACAAAGTAACAGCGAAGAAATTTTTCTGATACATAGGATACTGCCCAGAAATCTCACAACAAATACCCCATCCAAGTTGGCTGTTGTCTGTTGACAAGCGTTCATAATGGCTACTAGTTTTAGCTTTTAGCTTTTCGAGTATCAAAGGAGAGAATGTGTAGTCAGGATGTTGCGCTAATGAACAGAAAGCAAAGTGAAGGTGTCTAGTGAAGTGCTTACTTTGAGGAAACTTAGAGGACCGTATGTTTTTAAAGATCCTGCCTCAGTGCCGTCAACAGTAAATGGTAACATAGGAGCTCCTGCAAAGATTTTATGACCAGACCATTCCATGGAATTAACCCACCTGAAATTCCCTGTAAAGATGAAAGAATATGCAATTAATCATCTGGCAGAAGTGTGCTGTTTGTCTTTCGGTTACCAATTTGAAAGTGGAAATTAATAGATATACTAGAAGAAGACAAGTTTCGTTCATATTTGTTTTTAGAGTTCATCAACTAGTATGCAGAAGGCTGTGTTGGGGTTAATCTATCGACAACACGTGCCCTCCGGATCTTGTGACGAACAAATAGCAAGCAAGAACTAACAACAAAACAAAAACTTGCAGGAAAGAACAAATAAAGAAGAGAACACAAGATCAAACGAGGTTCGGCAATCGTGCCTACGTTCTCGGGAGCCACGCCAGAAATTTCCTCGATTATTGATGAAGATTACAATGCTTGCAAACAGCTATTTCTCTCTCTGAGATCTCTCTCTCAAAGTGTTCAAAAGACTCTCTCTTTTTCATGTGTTAACTCTGACAAAGACGTTCATATATATATATAAACCCTAGTTCAAACGAATTCCCAAACGAATCAGGAAACGGGTAAAACCCGTCATCGGTCGACTGATGCACTTGCATCGGTCGACTGATAAGAGCTTCTCAGTCTGCTTCGTGCACAATATCGATCAACCAATGTTTCCTGTCGGTTAACTGACCAGAGGAATTTTTTCAGCTTGTTTTTGTCAGTCCAATCGGTCGACCGATAGGCTTGTTCGGTCGACCGATTGTTGGGAATTCGAAACAATCAATCGAACCCTTGCCCTTCCGGACCTTGTGTTGAAAGTAGGAAAATAGGAATAAAACCACAAATAAAGATCTAACTTGCAAAAAAAATAGTAAAGGAGATGAACACACAGGTTTAACGAGGTTCGGCAACGTGCCTACGTCCTCGGGAGCCACACCACACAATCTCTTTATTAATTGAAGAAGAAAAATACAAGCTCTCAAACAAGGGATTAATCCTCTGAGATTCTCTCTCTTTGCAGTCAAAAAGCTCTTCTTTTGATGTAGTACAAACCCTAAAATCGTTTGGGGTATATATAGAATCCTGGTTGAAACAGAATCCCAAAAGGAACAGGAAACTGCCAAAACTATTCGCGGTCGACCGGCCCGATCGACCGATCAGATTCCAGAGAGTTTGGCGGTCGACCGGCGCGGTCGATCTGCCACTGCGGTCGACCGCACAGTCTTCTGACTGTTTTCTTCGTCTTTTCGATTGCAGCTTCGGGTCTACACACTTAGACTAACAATCTCCCACTTGGAGACCAAAGTGCCTGCAATGAGTTCCCCCGAACTCTCCCCTTCTTCGCATGTATCTTTTCTCCGAAAAAAATCTTCCTTCAATCAACAATATCCCGGCGATCTCGCCTGTCCTCGTAGTGTGGCTCCGCCTTCATCTTCTACTCGTGAAGGCCAACTGAAGTTGCGCACAACTCCAGTTTCTCAATGGTGACTGCCTTCGTCAACATGTCCGCCGGATTTTGACTCCCCAAAATCTTCATTAAATGCAACTTTCCGTCCTCGATCAGCGAGCGTATAAAATGATATTTGACGTCGATGTGCTTCGTTCTGGCATGATATACTGGATTCTTGACAAGATGTATAGCGCTCTGGCTATCACAATAAAGAACTCCTCTCTCTTGCTTCAGATCCAACTCTTCCAAGCACCCGTTCAACCAGATCATCTCCTTGCTTGCTTCAGTCATCGCGACATACTCAGCCTCGGTTGTTGATAAAGTCACAATCTTCTGCAGACGTGAGACCCAGCTCATTGCTGTCGACGCTAAGGTATAAACATACCCCGTGGTGCTTCGCCTCGTATCATGATCACCGACGAAGTCTGCATCCACGTATCCTTGCAGTACCAATTCCTTCCTCCTGAAACATAGTGGTTTGTTTGTTGTCCCTCTCAAGTACCGCATTATCCACTTCACGCTTTAGCATTCTGCATGTTGAACCTCCTAAGTACCTTCTCAATGTATTCAGCTTGGCTCAAACTCAATGTCCCTTCAGCTTCATCCCTACTGATTCGCATCCCTAGAATCTGCTTCGCTGCACCCAGATCCTTCATTGCAAATTCCTTTGCTAGCTGCCTCTTCAAACTGTTTATCTCTTCTAAACACGGTCCTGCTACCAACATGTCATCAACATATAATAACAAAATAATGAAGCTGGACTCGAACCTTTTGAAATAACAGCAATGATCCGAATTGCATCTTCTGTAGCCATTATTCTGCATGAAATTATCAAACTTCTTATACCACTGTCTCGGAGCCTGTTTCAAACCATATAAGCTCTTCTTGAGCTTGCACACCATCTCTTCCTTTCTTTCTTCAATGAAACCAACAGGTTGCTTCATGTAGATTTCTTCATCCAAGTCAACATGAAGAAATGCAGTCTTCACATCTAACTGCTCAAGGAAGAGGTCTTCTGGAGCTACCAAACTCAACACCACTCTGATGGATGTGAGTTTCACAACAGGGAAAAATATCTCCGTGTAGTCTACTCCTTCCCGCTGTTGAAACCCCTTCACGACTAATATGACCTTGAATCTCTTGCTTCCATCACTCTCCTGCTTGACCCGGTAGACCCATTTATTGTGCAAGGCTTTCTTCTGTGCAGGTAGCAGGGCTAACTCTCATGTCTCATTAGTGAGTAGAGAATCCATCTCCTCCTGCATCGTATGCTCCCACTGCTGAGCTAACTCTCATGTCTCATTAGTGAGTAGAGAATCCATCTCCTCCTGCATCGTATGCTCCCACTGCTGAAATTCACTCACTTGCACTGCCTCTTCATAACACTCCGGCTCTCCGCTATCTATTAAGAGTAGATAATCAAGTGACGAGAGGTATTTGGGATTTGGTTTGGGTATCCGGGATGACCTCCTAAGCTCCACGCCCTGGGTAGTAGCTTCTGCACCTGTAGTCTCCTCCGTTCTACGGTCAGAACTGACATTATCGCCCCCATCTGGAAGTTCCTCCAAATCCATGCACTCGGATCCACCTGTATCTGTAGTGCTGCTCCCACTGCTTTGGCTATTCTTGACATTGTCCCTGTCCTTGTACATCACCTCCTCATTGAATATCACATCCCGGCTCCTGATGATCTTCCTTTTCTTTTCATCCCAAAGGCGATACCCGAACTCATCAATGCCGTATCCAATGAATGTGTACTTCTGTGACTATACCCGAACTCATCAATGCCGTATCCAATGAATGTGTACTTCTGTGACTTAGCTTCTAGCTTGTCCCTGACATGGTCACTGATATGAACATAAGCCACGTAACCAAATACCCACAAGTGTGAGAGATTTATCTTTTTTCCACTCCGAACCTCTTCTGGAATCCCAAAATCTAATGGAACTGATGGTCCGTGATTAATCAGGTAGGCTTCCGTATGCACCGCATCCACCCAAAATATCTTAGGCAGACCTGCATGTAATCGCATGCTCCGCGCACGCTCTGTTAAGGTCCTGTTCATCCTCTCTGCAATGTCGTTCTGCTGCGGCGTCCCTGGAGTAGTCCTCTCTAAGCGAATCCCATTCGTAGCACAGAACCTCTTGAACTCCTCAAGCTCGTATTCTCCACCATTATCTGATCTCAAGCACTTCACCTTCAGATCTGTCTCGTTCTCGACCATGGCCTTCCACTTCTTGAAGATTTCGAACACCTCTAACTTGTGCTTCATGAAGTAAACACACACCTTCCTCAAGTGATCGTCGATAAAGGTGACGTAGTATCTCGAACCGCCAAAAGAAGACACGCTGGCTGGGCCCCATACATCTGTATGAATCAACTCTAGCTTCTAAGCCTTAGGTGGCCTTCCACCCTTCTGGAAACTAACCCTCTTCTGCTTCCCAAAGATGCAGTCTTCACAAACCCCGACTTCCACGGTGTCGATCCCGGTTAGCTTTCCTTGTGAATGTAGAATTTTCATCCCCTTCTCGCTCATGTGTCCCAGCTTGTTGTGCCACAGATCTGTATTTTCCTTGCCAGCTGCAATTACGAGGGTGTCACTCGCATGTGAAGTGAGGTAGAGAGTTCCTGTTTTATTGCCTCAGACAACAACCATAGTACCGTTGGAGATTCTCCACGAATCCCCGGTGAATGTCGAAACGTAACCTTCTGCTTCAAGCTGTCCCACCGAAACAAGATTCCTCTTCAGCTTCGGCACGTGTCTCACGTTCTTCAAATTCCATTTAGAGCCCTTTATCTGTATCTGAACGTCGCCCTTTCTAACAATATTGCAAGGTTCATTGTCTCCCAAGTATACTTTACCAAAGTCCCCTGCTACATAGTTCTGAAGTAGTTTCCTATTAGCAGTGGCGTGGAAAGAAGCTCCTGAGTCGATGACCCAAGAATCAGAATCGCTATCCATAACAAGGATCAAGGCATCCTGCACGATATGAGCCTCCTGCTCACCCGCATCCTTCTTTGGTGCTTTACAGACCGAAGACATATGGCCCTCCTGGCCGCAGTTCCAACACTTCCCTTTGATGGACCTAACCTTCGAGTTCGGCCTCTTCTTCGCTGATTTCGACCGATTCCTGTTCTGGTTCTCTTTCTTCTGGCTTCTGCCTCTCTGCTCGAAACTTAGGGCTGAACCTGAACCTTCTGATTCGGACGATTTCCTTCTAACCTCCTCGGATAGAATCATGCTAACAACCTCATTCCGCTTTAACTTCTCTTTCCCCGCCGAATTGCTGATTGCTGTCACACAACCTGTCCAACTATCCGGCAACTACGATAGTAGTAGAAGGGCCTGCACTTCGTCATCGAACGTGATGTCCACGGAGATAAGTTGATCAACAATCGTGTTGAACTCGCTGAGGTGCATCGTGAAGGACCGTCCTTCTGCCATCTTGAGGTTGAAAAGAGTTTTGACTACATGCACATTGTTTGCTGCCGACGGTTGCTCGTACATCTTCGCGAGCGCTTTCATAAGTCCCACCGTCGTCTTCTCCTTCAGAATATTGTGGGCTACTGATTTGACGAGCGACAACCGGATTTGCCCTAGAGCCTTCCTATCCAGTACCTCCCAATCACCATCTGACTCCGTCGTCTTCTTTCCCTTTTCCTTGCCCAGAAGCGGGCGAGAAGTCTGAACCGTCAAACTTCTCGATCTTTGATTTGTTTTCCTCTGCCATGGCTTTCACACAAATTGCTGAACGAAGCTCTGATACCAGTTGTTGGGGATTCAAAATAATCAATCGAACTCTTGCCCTTCCGGACCTTGTGTTGAAAGTAGGAAAGTAGGAATAAAACCACAAATAAAGATCTAACTTGCAAAAAAAACAGTAAAGGAGATGAACACGCAGATTTAACGAGGTTCGACAACGTGCCTACGTCCTCGGGAGCCACACCACACAATCTCTTTATTAATTGAAGAAGAAAAATACAAGCTCTCAAACAAGGGATTAATCTCTCTGAGATTCTCTCTCTCTTTGCAGCCAAAAAGCTCTCCTTTTTGATGTCTCTAAAACCCTAAAAACGTTTGGGATATATATAGAATCCTGAAACAAAACAGATTCCCAAACAGTTTAGGAAACTGTCTGGACGATGGATCGGTCGACCGTGGAACTGTCTGCTCGTTTTCTCGTCCTTTTGATTCCAGCTTTCATCTCGAACTTTGGGTCTACACCTTAGACTAACACCGATAAGATGGGTTTTCACTGCTTGCTGACTTTTGTTCCCAGGTTTCGGTCTACACACCCAAAACCAACAGGCTGCAACACGCATTAAGGCATAGTCTCCTCAGGAGTGTTATTCTCTATGATACTGATGGAATCACTGTGATGTAAAGTTCTCAAGTTGATTGGATCTAGTTCTGTTATTTGCAGAGACATGTGAAAAAGCATGCCAATCAAGCCTAATATCCACCTAGAAACAAGTGGCAAGACTGAATGAAATAGACGTGCAACCACAGAGAGACATGGAGATAAGGGCAGACAACTGAGAATGCAAAAGATCCTCTTATCTTCTTGGGCATTCAATTTCACCCATTTGACTGTTTATGTTCCCACCAGTCACCTGTTACTTTGTAGAGATGCCCTATCTCTTGGTATAACACACAAAGTCTTCAACTTTATACAGTTTTGAGCTCAAAATCTCTCATACAGATAGAATAACATACTTTTTTTTTAAAGAGTAACAGTCATGTAAAGATGAACATGCATTCGTTTCTTAGATTGTGATCATGGATAAATATGGATGCAGCATAAGTAATCCATGTATTCGTGAAATTAATCTAATGGACATCAAATGCTTTAATCTGCTAAATGGAAACCTCAAAACAAGTGAAGCTGGAAAGTTCTGGGACCTAGATTGAGATTTGAGCAAAACATCAATAAGATTGAAGTCGGCAGCTAAAAGTTAAAATGTGAATAGGTATATAAGCTAACAGATTCAACCGCAATGCTAAATATTCTCTAAATTCAGATGTACTCAGTTCACAACAAAATTTTATATCAGTCTATAAATCATCAAAATAAATTTTCAAGAAAAATTTAACCACAGATGCAACCGAAGGAAACATAATATCCATTGAGACAAGGTTCAGACACAAAATTACCTTTCAACCAATTCTCAATGAATGCTAAAAGAGCTAAGCAATTAAACTGATTTTGGATCTAGCAGAGTGTAACATAAGAGAAGGCACTCATAACTAGATAAAACTAGGTTAAATTTACTACAATCACAAGGTAGATTGTGCACTTACCCAACCAGTTACATATGAGGTCATATTCACCAGCATACACCAACAGTTTGATGCCATCTTCAAGCAGAGCAGGAATACCAACTTCAAGATCCTTCATCCAATCTGTTATCATAGCCTCGTAGACAATGGGACTACACGATACAAATTTCCTGTTGCCGACACCAAGAGCATCTCTGACAGACTGCTGGTTTAAAAACTTATCCATGTTTGAGAAATCGTAACAGAGACTTCCTTCACATTCCTTTCGAATATCATAATACTAAAAGAAAAGAACATGCTTTAATCAGCAACTGAAGACTTTGGCAGTAAGTACCAGCAATTTATGAAAAGTTACACATCTTACGTTTATGTTTCCAGAAAGCAGAATAATGGAAGTGAAGATAGTGTTGCAAACAATATAGGATGCGGCGCATGTTATAACCCCTTTAGGACCTGCCAGATAATGGATAACAGCCATTAAAGACAACTGTGTAAAAGGTTGTCTAATATACTATCTGTGACTCGCAATACAGATAAATACATGAATGATGAATGTATCATTACGGCACAAATGAGAAATTACCACAAAGTCGAATTGCATGTTCACACAAAGGATAAATCTTATTGATTGTGTCATGGGCAGTTTGGCTAATTAGACCCATGTCAAATGCATAGTCAGCATATGCTCCATATTGAATTGCAGGATCAGTGAGGCCATTGCCTATAGCAAAACCCTACAACAAGGAAAAACTCCATACATTAAAAAGAACTCCATGAAGAATTGAAAGCAGCTATGCAGCCAAGTGGCAAACATTCTCAGACTGCTTTTGCTTGTTACGTAGGACAATGGATAATGGATTCATGTTCACCTTTAAGTTTAAATGCAGGCCTTGCTTTTCTTTGTTTCCACGACGGACCCTCTCAACAGTAGCAGGGATATAGTGTCCAGCATATGATTCACCAGCAATATAGAAGTCATTATGCAGGTAGTCTGGATGCTCTTTGAAAAATGTCTATCATCCAATATCATTTATAGAAATTAGTTGGTCACGAGCTAAACAAGTCAACCAATTTCTGGATATCAGCATGAATTCACCTGTAAAAAGTCATATATATCATTGCTTACACCCTTCTCATCATAACGAATGTCGCGTAAGTCTGTACTGTAACTAAATCCAGTACCAGTTGGCTGGTCGACATATATGAGGTTTGATACCTGAAGAACAAATGAAACATAGGTTTTAATTTTAACAAGAAAGACATACTAGTGAGTAATTCATGCATGTTTTTCAAAAAGGCAGATATAGCATGTTGCTTGTAATTTGATTGACTAGCAACTTAAACCAAAAGTAAAGAAAAAGCATTTTAATTAGTCCTGCTTTAATGATGCAACTAAGTTTGATAAAAGAAACAAATAAATTAGTCTCACTTTAATGCTGCAACTAGGGTTCATAAAAGAAACAAATAAATTAGTTTCATTGTATAAATCACCACTCCTACTAGTAACCTGCATATCATGTACACTACCAGAGAACATGTGAGGTTAAGAAGGAAACAACAATTTACTAAGTGTACAACATGGACAGAAGAATCACCATAAAAAATTAATTTAGATGAAGAAGTATTACCTTGTCCCATCCATAGTCATTCCAGATTAGTGACATATTATCAGCAATAAGGAAAGGTCCATTTTCATAAAAAAGGGCCAATTCACTGCTGCAACCAGGACCACCAGTCAGCCAAAGGACAACAGGGTCGCTGCTGCTGCCTCGTGATTCAAAGAAGAAATAGAACATTCTGCAAGAAGCAATACATTATCTCAGAATTAGAATGAAGTGGTTTGACACTCGTACACTCTATATACAGGTGGTGAAGCAAGGATCTACTTCAGAGGTCAACAATATTTTTATAACAGAAGGAAATATAATTCACAATCACCGAGTAGTTCACAAATCAATTAAGAAATATAAACCTCTTTAGCACTAGACAATTTAGATGGCTTTCATTCATCATTTAAATTTCATATGGAGGTTGAGCAAAATTGAAAGATAGAAAAAAAAATGAGCTTTACTAATTACAACTTACTTCAACATGTTACATTGAATTTGACAAAGAAACTTATGAATCACACTATGGACAGACAGTATTTACATAAGACTATGAGTTTTACATTAGAAAATACTGCAAAGAAAAGAAAACAATCAAACACATCACACATAAACAGAATTTAAACTCTGGAAGGTCTATAGATTTTTCATTGTTTTCCATTTTATTTTTTAGGATGCCATATTAGGCAAAAGTAGATCTTTTTAGGAAGTCAAAACAAATACATTTTTCTTCTGATATCAATAACTACCTTTAAGTAAAGTGTGTTGTAGAAA